GGGTCGCACATATCTCTTGGGATTTGCGCAGTTGAACAGGATGAGCAACAGGAGTTTGGGAGTTTTCTAGCTTTTGCACATGATGTTGCATGTCGGTGGGACTCACCAGCTTTGGCGCACTCACACCAAACTTGCAGGATCTCTGAACTCTCGTGGGTTCTTGTGCCTAAATGGCATGTCTCCTAGCAGCAAGAAGGTCGCTGCGTGCACAGTTTCTCATGAGAGACCGCCCAGCAAACCACTATTGTGAAAACAAGGCTTTTGCAGAAATCCTGCTAGATACAGTGCTGCGATACAGTGCCATGGGTTGCAATTATATTATATTAGTTGTTGGAATGCCACTGATCCGCAGCCTGCCCTATCCAAGGAACAAACCCTCGTTTTCATCACACCTTCACGGATGAAGATCAGATGAGTGTTTTGAAGCGTTGGGCGGTCAAGTCGGACGCACGGGGTAAACTGAAGAACAAAGGCGGTCGAGTTCATGGGATCCTTCGCTATGCACGCTTGCGATATCTCACTTTGAGTTGGCAAATCCCCAAAGCGGTGAGAAAACGAGACCACCGCTCACTGTGAAAAAAAGACCGAAGTCTTTGGAGACTTTCTGTGGGATTTGTTGTTTTCTGGAGAATTCTTTGGAAACATATCAGGATCATGGAAAATCTTAGGTGAGTGAAACTTAGACGAACTGTGTTGACTAAGTTTAACTTGATCATTGGACTATGTCTTAGTTAAACTGCGACGTTGGAAGCTCTGGGTATATATATATATTTGTTTAATCTCTTTAAACAATAACATTTCACAACTTTATAATCTTATGAACGCTTGCTCTCAACAAAGCTACTATATATATAGTTGTGTTGCACGTCCACCGTCCGCCTTCTGTCGCGGCTCCGCGTGGCGAAGCGCTGAATGGACATCAGGTCGAGCACCCGATGGCCGTCATGACGGCAAAGGCCACCGCAGGGCCCCAGCCACTTGGACTCCATGGCGATGGCGCAGAGCTGGAGCAAGCTGTCCTGTTTGGAGATCCCGAAGTACCCAGACACTCCATGCATGGAATAGATCCCACCCCAGCCAGACCCCCAAACCACCACCCCTGACCGTTTTGAAGGCAGTCCGTCCTGGCAGTCCCAGACAGGTCGTGTCTGGGGGTAGTGGGCTGGGTCCAGCCACGACGCCCCAGCTCGTCTCGACTCGACTCCAGGGGCTCCACCTCGACTGGAGGGTGCTGGGGGCAGCTGGGGCAGCCTGGGAAGTGTACTTCATGATACTTCATGAACACCCTGGTAGCCACCAATCACCCTACTTCAGGACTGAAGGACGTCCTGCTATGGCATCTTGATGATTTGCACCACGGATCGGTCAACTAGTCCCACAACTCTCGTGGGACTGGGTGGTCGAGGGTCCTGAGAATATCACAGGACCCCACAAGGCAACCAACTGATGAGAGTCTTCATATACCCAGACAATCCCAGACACTTCACCTGAAGAAAACCACCTGGACCCACCTAGACCTGAAGAAAACTGGTGTGGCTGGAGGAATTCGTGACGGTGGTCACTACGGTGGTCACTACCTTGGTGGTGAGACTCTCAGCGGTCATCCGAGTCGAACATGCGGGGCCATGCCATCCACGGCCAGGCACATGATTTCGAGGAGTGTATCAAGTGTATTGCCATCCCAGAGAGGTTTAGAGACCTTATAGGACCCTGGTCTGTGGTACATATGGGATGGGCTATGGGGCTCTTCAACCTCTCTAGGATTGCAAGGTAAATGCACGCCCTGCGGAGTCCAATACTGTAAACACGGGCCGGGTCGCAAAACGCAAAACCTGATGTCCGACATGTTGGTACTTCAGTGGGGCAAAGTCTATGTGAACTTCTAAAGCATGGTTTTCAGGGTCTACTAAACCACTGTGTTTCGTTTTCTCGGAAGGTGGAACCTGAATCAAAGGGAGAACCATTGAACTGGTGGAATTGGTGGATGGAAGGAGTACCACTTCCAGTACCACTTACCTGTCTGGGACTGTCATAGGACTGCCGCCCCATGGACCCCCGTTTCAACCACCCCAACTGATCGGCAGTCCTATGGCAGTCCCATAGGTCGTGTCCGGGACTTCCTTCTACCCCAACTTCCGTTTGAAGATCTTTGGGCCCAACGGCCCAACCAGACTTCCTATCCTTTCAGAAAAACTTTCCAACTCCACCTCTGTTGTGAAAGGATGTTGGAGGATGGTCTTAGTCGTAGTCGGAAAGCCATACGAGTTCCACCTCACCCTCCCTACCCCCTCCTACCTACCCCTCGGATCTCGCTCGCACACATCCCCAGGTACCAGGACCTCACGGGAGAGATCCAACACCTGAAGAGCCTCGCGAAGCCCACGCCAGAGGCGGGTCCGCGAGCGGCTCGCAGCAACGCTGAAACGGTCTCATGGGGTCTGGGGGGAAAGCAGAACAGGATCGAAACTGATGTGTGCTTCTTTCTAGAATGAGGGGAGTGAACCCCCACAAGAGATGCCATATACGGATCCATTACCTTCTTCAGCCTTTTTCCTTAAGCACGAGTCTGTATTCCCAAGAAGCAGGGAGCGAACTCGAAGCGACGCCCCCACCCCCGACGAGCGGAACTTCCAGAACTGGGGAGAGAGGGAGTGAAAAGGCACTGAGCAGTTGGAGGCTAAGAAGGCACTGAGCAGTTCTCTCCACAATTCCAGCTTCTTCCCCAAACAGGTTCAATCGATCCATTGACACACATATATTGCAGTACTTTTTCATATACTTGTGCATTGCTTTCTCCCCTGAAGACCATGGTGCCATGGTGCCACGATGTTTGAAGACCATGGTGCCATGGTTCTCCCAGATGTTCTCCCAGGATTTCTGCGACTCACTTCGTTCTGAGGCCCCCTGGGAGTACAGCTTCGTGATCGGCACCTTCCAAGAGGCCTCGCAGGTGCGACATCGGCAGTGGATGTGACGGGCTGAGCCCGTGCAGGTAGAGGAGGAAGAAGTGCAGGTAGACATGGAAGGAGCCATGGAGGAAGGAACATGCAGAGAGATGTAGAGTTGTCCAGTGGAAGACACGAACACTTGCAAGATCTCTGAATTGGTCCATGTTGGATTCGTTTGGTCAATTGTAACATTTAATAGAGAGCCTCACAAACTCTCCCAAGTAGTTATAGGGACGTTATGGAACATACCTAGAACCTGAATGACCTCAAAATATTGCCGGTCACCCAGGTTCGCAATTTTGCCAACCATTTACGCGATTTTACCTGCTTATGTGACTTTGTTTGATCCTGCTGCTGACTTTTGTTGAATAACATACTGTAAAGAACACATGGAACAACCATCTGTTTTCGATCAACTAAGAAGTACACTGGGAAAGCCCTACACCTCCAGTCGTACCACCTCAGGTTCGGTACTTAGACCCTCCTGGCACCCACCCCCACCGAACCTCAGCAGGTACTTGGAGTCCTAGGGAAGGTCATCCCTGAATCATCCCATTTATTTTCTTCGACCTATATAAAGATGGACAAACACGGTCCATGAGCGCGAGCGCTCTCGCAGCGGTCACCAGTGGTCATCGGCGGCCAACAAGGGGTCTGGCTCTGTATTGGCTCTGTATGGCCCAGCAATAGATGGGACTGAAAGAGTTAGAAAAACCGTCAACATGAGTCACCAATGAGTCAAAAAAGCAACAATCCAAACATCACCCTAATGTGTATAATATATATATATATAGCCAAATATGGTTAACCATACGTTTCAACGTACTGCGGAACATTGGTACCAGTAGTACCAGAGTCCCATTTTCTAAAAGGTGCTTGACGTCGGGTCTGCCGGCATCTTGTTTTTAAATGACAGATGTTTGTTATACCCAGACCATGCATGGGACGGGAATATATGTCCGCACCCTTATGGACCCGGCCCACCGGCCAGTTCCCTTCCAGGTCCGAAGAACCTTCACAGCGGAGGGTACCAAAGATTAGGAACCCTATAGAAGGTCCAGGGATTCCAAGATGCCCTCATTTGAAGTTAAGGCAGGTTCCTGCACCGTGCACCTGCGTGCTATTAAAAGAACCTGAATGAATGGTTGGACTGACTCCCAGAGCAACAATCAGCAGGGTCTATTTTGACCAGTCAATGCTCGTGGTATCTCGTGGTTTCCAGTGGATTTGCATGCAAAAGAAGGGTCACGCAGCCCACTTCTGGGTCCCGCGATGGGACCAACCTCAGTGGCTGACCTCACTTCAAATACTCCAATCAATTCCATTGAGACACTCTCACCCGGGGGGGGGCTTTCTCATATATCAATGATTTCCAGTCCCAGAGAGGTCGGAGTCTTTCTGGAGCACTATCAAATGATTTCCGGTCCTAGAGAGGTCGTGTCCGGGCAAGGCTTTTTTTGGGGCGGAGGTGGCATTGTAGGTCTCCGAGTATCGCTATTAGGTTGGAGGCCATCGCTATTAGACTGGAGGCCATCGCTATTAGGTTGGAAGGCTTTCTTTTCAGTCTTCTACCTTGTGTCGTCGCTCGTCGCTCCTTCCGCAGCGAACTTCGGCTTCGCTCGCTCGCGAGCCATGTGAAGCAGTCACAGTTTGGAAGTTTGTAGAGAGTTCAGCGGCCAGCCGTGCCTGACAAGTATGTCCTAGAAGAGTCTCCTACAATGTCCTACACCACCTTCCCAGTGACCTTTACAGACCAAAGCGACCTGGTTCTCAGATCTCCAAACCCATCACTGGGAAGGTCGTGGTGCCTATACATGTGCGTTCTACGGCCATTGGGAAGCCCTTTCAAACACCAGGATCATATATGCAAAGCACAGCTCAATTGTTGGAACGGCTCCAGATTTGTTTGTGATTTCACCCAGAAGGTTTCAACCCGCATTTTCGGCCCTCAACAAGCAGTTCGCAGATGTTTGCAGATGTCTCTGTTGAAATCTAGATGATGGCATCAATGGCATCTATAGACACAACAACATGGCCACCCAATGACCATATATGGTTCTGGTGAAGGTGCTCTTCGTCAGTGGACGCCAACTGTTGGTCTCCACCGAAGAGGAGACCATCGGGCAGCTGGTGCTGCGAATCTGTGAGAAGTTGCCCCAACGACCCGAGGGCGTCCTACGGCTGTGCTACGTTGCTCGGATCCAGTTGTTTTGGGCGGGACAGAATCCAGTCCTGAAATGGCAGTGGTGACATTAATATGAGTTTAGACTGAATTCAGTGACCAGCGGTGACATACTACTGTAGCGTTTACCAATTGAACCCTTGCTTTGGCGCATTTTTGCGGTCTATCAAGATATTCGATCAAAAACTCCACGACATCATGGCAAACCAACTTGAGGATGGGGCTCCATTAAAGCCTTCATCTTCCCTCCGTGATGCTGGCATCAGGGATGGAGACACCTTGACGGCTGTGCTCCATGATGCTTTCCTGGTGGCAAATCGCCGCTCCTTCCTGCTGGGCGGTGCCAGTGCCGGTGCCTCTTTGCTTCGAAGCTGGGACACGAGCTCGTCGAGCTCGTCCAGCTCGTCTCCGCCCGATGTGACGGAGGTCCTGGAGATCCAATCAACTCCATTCGCCTTCTCTGCGGTGAAAGCTGATGGTTCAGTGGTGACCTGGGGACGAGCAGAAGAAGGCGGCGACAGTGCTCATGTGCAGGAGCAACTGGAGCAGGTGACGCAGATTCAGGCGACGGAGCACAGTTTCGCAGCGCTGCGGGCTGATGGAACTGTGGTCAGCTGGGGTGATGCAGACTTTGGCGGTGACAGCAGCCATGTGCAGGTGACGTTATTGGAGTTCATATCATTTCATTTCAGTAGCAATCATTGAATGTGTATAGCGACTCTAGCGACGGGTTCTGCCGTGTTCTTCTTGTCTTGTCTCGTGACGGACCCGCGTGATTTTGGTGCTTTTCTCACGGTGAGGCTCTGTGCTGGGCTCCCGGCCGCGTGATGTGTTCTCTTTCGTGTTCTCTTTCATGAGACTTCCGCCACACTTTTGGACGAACCATGCTTCGTTTCATTGAAATAAACAACAAAAGGCCTAATGAAATCTATTAAGGTTCTTTTTCCGCTTGATGTGTTCTTCGGAATTCTGGAGACTTTTGGAAGTTTTGGTGCCACTTCTAGAGAGTTCAGCGGCTGAGTGGCTGACAAGTATGTCCTAGAAGAGTGTCCTACAATGTCCTACACCAGGACCTTCCCAGTGACCTTTAATTACAGGATTGATCAGTGACCTTTTTTCAGACCTAAGTGACCTCATTCTGAGATCTCAAAAGGTCACTGGGGAGGTCTTATTGCATGAGAGTCCGACAAGAGTGGCACAGAATAATGTCCCACAACAGTGCCCTTCAAGAGTGTCTCACAAGAGTGTCCCACAAGACTGTCCTACAAGAGCATCCCACAAGAATGGCCGTCCTACAAGAGTGCCGCACAAGAGTGTCCTCCGTAGGTGTCTCACGAAACAGTGTCCAGCAAGAGTGTGGCACACGAGGGTCCCGCATGTGCGGCACAAGAGTGTCCTTTCAGAAGCGTGTCGCACAAGACTGAGTCTCTAGAAGAGTGTCACCCCTGAATTTCCTTCAAGGATGTCTTTGAGAAGAGTGTGAAGCAAGAGTGTCAAACAATATTTGACCGTTGGTGTTTGCTTAAACGTGTCGTGGTTTTATGTTAAACGTCCGCCTTGCACCGGTCGGTCTACCGGTGTCCTGGAAGGAAAAGGGCCGTAGGGTTATTCCAAATACCTGAGATCTTTGATGATCATTGGAACCCAAGCAGGATCATCCATTGAACCCACAGCTTTCCAGACATTCAGCAACTGTCACAGGCTCAACTGCACGGGGTGCGCTGCATCCAACGTACTTCGCGTGCCTTCGCAGCGCTCAAGATCGATGGCACCGTTGCGGTTTGGGGCGATCCCCACGCAGGGGGCAAGGTGAACGAGAGTGTCCAGGAACAGTTGCAAAACGTGAAGGAGATCCAGGCCTACTGGTGTCAGTGGCCACAGGGGCGGCGGAGAAGTTGGAGAAGGGAATTACATGTTGCACGAGTTGATGAAAAACCATGAGATCATGGCGGTCCTTTAACAAGCTGCAAATAGCAAGTGTCTTGCGTTATGTGTGGTCTTTTTCAAACAAATCCTTCATTCGGTGTTTGAGCAAGAGCTCTCCACTATAACAAGATGCCTATAGTTGGCACAATTTCAGGTTGTGAGTGTCCTCATTCTGAGCTCCACCAGACAAAGAGCACTGTATTAGACCTCCAGCCTAATAGTATGTTCAATCTAGCAATCTAGCGGGCCTTTTGCTTCCATCCATCCACGAAACCATGCATTCCTCATGTAAATGTTCAACATCCCATATCCCCTCCCTGCCAGCTCAGACGACTGGACCACCAAGCGCTCACAACGTCACCCTGCTTTTTAGGCCACCCACAGTGCCTTCGCCGCGGTGGTCAGATCCCCTTGCGGACCTGGGACGGTGGTCGCTTGGGGAAATCCTGGAGCTGGGGGTGATGCTTCAGAGGTTCAAGAAGAGCTCAAGCAGGTCGTTGGGGGAGGGATGTGTCTTTTTTTTGAGCCAAACATGGCCAGTCAGACTGGGTAGCACTAAGTAATCACATGGGTTGGAAACCATCAAAGATCACTGATCTCTTTTACTTCGAGTGATCATGACAGACTATCCTGACAAACGCTTTCTGGCATCAATTCTGGTATGTGTTCTGACATATCATCTAGCATACAAGCGGGGAAGGTTCTGGGATGTGTTCTGAGATGTTCTGACATCCTATTTGGCCTGTGTTCTGATGTGTGCCCTGTCGCCAAGTCTGACATATGTTTTGACACTTTTTCTGTCGTGGATTCTGACACCTGTTGCCGCTTCAAACCTGCCATTCTGACATATGTTCCGACAGTCTTCTGATATGTGTTTTGTTCAGTCTTCTGATATGTGTGTTGTTCAGTCACCTCGTGTGTTTTGGTCAACCTATGTTTGACGCTTCTTCCGCCAATGGTCCATTGAAAGGTCCAATGCGCGCCACTCTCTGCAGCCCGGCGTGCCAAGGTCTTTGTAGCGTGTAGCCGGAACATGGCGAAGGAAGGAGAGGAAAGGGAAGGGAATGAAAGGAAGGAGGTCGGAACACTGACATAAAATGTAGAGACCCTCGCCTGACAGGTGGGGATTGTCAATAATTGTCAAAAACTATGTTAGGTGCAGGTAGGTGCCATTCCTCGCGTAAGTGGCTGCCCGATTCAAGTTGAGTTCACCAAAGGCACGCCGAGGGTCGGAGCCACCAGAAAGGACCCAAGTTTCTTCTCACTGACCAGAAAAGAGCCACCAGAAAGGACCAGAAAGGACCGAGGGTTTCTTCACCAGAAAGGGTTGAGATTCCAGTTTTTTTGTTCTGCTAAATTTCCTTCTCGTGGGCAGCTAAAGACTCAAGGTGACGGACTGTTCAAAGCGGTGGAAAGGGGTCAATGTGGGAGATTCCCATACCACATTGACCAACCACAGAAATCCATACCACCAATGTGAGTGAGTTGTTTCCATCTTGGAACCTTAAACCACCGTCTCTCGCCGTCTCCATGTTGGTCGCGCTTCCGTGGTCGCCCCGCGACGAGGTGGTCGCGCTTCAGTCCTCAGAGGGGGCCTTTGTGGCACTGCGAGAAGATGGAACACTGATTGCATGGGGTCATCCCAACCTGGGCGGCTGTATCCTGGTTTTGCTGCTTTTTTTTGGTGCTTTTGGTGCGAATTTTCTTGATGCGAATGCTTTTCTGCAGTAAGATCCTTTCTTGTGGCCCGGTGCCCGGTCTCAGCAAACTCAAGGTCTCACCTCCGACGTCCAAGCGCGTTTCTCTTCGACGGACGGCTCCGGCTCCGGTTCCTCCGTTGGTGCCGTGCAGGCGTCGGAGGGGGCCTTTGCGGCGCTGCTGGAGAACGGCGCCGTGATCACTTGGGGGTTGGCGCACTTCGGAGGTGACTGCACACAGGTGAAGGATCAATTGTTTGGAGTGATGGCGTTGCAGTCTTCTAGCAAAGCCTTCGCAGCAATCCGAAGGGATGGATGCTTGGGTCAGCGAAGCTTTTAACCAATGTGGATAGATTTGGTAGATTTGTTTGGAGAAGGTGAACATAAGAGGGTAACATTAACATTATATGTAACTTTGCCGATTCTTGGTTGGTCAGTGAGCTTTGATTTTTCGGGTTTACTCTTGCGATTCTGGAAGCTAGCCACTTCCGCACCATGCAACTTCCACTTCGCTAAGGCCGGGTGGTTGCTTGGGGTGCTCACGTTCGGGTGGCTGTACTCGAGAAGTTGAAGATGAGCTTTGGGGCGTGAGGAAGGTGCAGGCGACGAGTCATGCCTTCGCAGCCTTGCGTTCGGATGCATCGGTGGTGACTTGGGGCCGCCCAGATTTGGGTACCTTGGCGGCGCTTGGCGCAGCTGAAACGGTCTCATGGTGTTTTTGTTTCAAAACATCGATCTCTGAAGCTTTCCACTTCAGGAAGACTAGCCCTATGCCAGCTTTGTGATTCATCTGAGGTGGTGACAGCAGCATGGTGCGATCCCAGTTGTCTGGCATTTGGGCACTGCAGAGCTCGCCCCGAGCCTTCGCAGCCTTGCGCTGGGACGGTGAAGTGGTGCTTTGGGGCGACACCGGTTCTCTGCGTCGGCGACGAACAAAAAGGCTATGGCGGCGATGGGGAGCGAATGTGAAGCATTGCGGGGTACGCAAAAGTGGGATGAACATTTGAAAGTCTCGGATGGAGAAAGAGAAACGGTATTCCGAATGATGCTTTAACGTTTTTCTGTTTTTCCAAGTCACCCAAGTGCTTCCTGGAATTGTTTCTTCCATGGTGCGGCTTCACGCACAAACCGCCCAAATGTTTGAACAGCTGGGTAGCAGAGCACATGGAACCCCACTTGACATGACTGAGTTGCCGCGTTGGTCGTTTTACGGTCCAATTCAGATGACTCAATGTGTGTTCAGGGATGAACATGCCCACTCTTTTTGATCGAACAACCTTCAGCGCCTTTGTTTTATCTTCATGTTCTTGGATTGGAGGTCCCAGAACTCAACGACATCCCGGCATCCTGGTGGAAAGCCCCAAAACAAACCACAGAGGACACGTCCAATGCTGACAGGGTCTAACCATCCTGGCACAGGTTTCCAGTGCGAACATTGAGACAGATCGAAACGCGGGCAAAGGCCGCACAAATGTCTCTTCTCAGAACAAGAGATGAATATCCTGAGCAGCTTACTTTGTGCAACTAGTTTTTTACCATCGGGGCGTGCGATGAGGTCAGGCCTCGCAGCGCTAATCAGGTGTGAGAATTACACAGAGGAAAAGTGAAACAACGGACCCGGTGGGTGAGGACCACTGCTGACCACCTACAGGCTCGCCGTTCTTTCCTCTCTTACTTGCACCTGGAACGCCCTGGCCGGCGCAGTCCAATGGTCGGGGCGCCTGGGAGGAAAGACTCTGACTCTCGGAGTCTAAGATGCGCAAAGATGAGAATGAAAACCAGGGGGAGTGAGGTTTTGGGTGCAGCACTTGATGATAAGTGTTCACCTCTAACTGGCAACTACAGCTTACAACAATATGTTTTCGAGCTATTCATAGCTTCCACTTCCACCCACTCGTGGAGCTTTCGAGTTGAAACCGTTCACGTTCGGTACGGTAGTACGGCGTGCATCGATCGGGTGGGTGACTGGCCTGGTGCACCCAACCTGGAGGACTGGCCCTTCGCCACACGTCTCAGGGAGCGAGCCACATGGGGCTTCAGTCATACCCCAAACAGTCGGGTATCTATGCCGAAATCAACCCAGACGCGACTTGTCTGGGACTGCCAGTCCGGACTGCCGCCCCATTGACCCCCAAAGCCACCCCAATGTAGGCATATATGGCAGTCCCATGGGTCGTGTCTGGGATATATGGTGTTGGGGTCAATGAGTCAAGACCTTCAAAGTGACCAAGGTAACTCAGTTCATCTCGTCCAGGTAACTGAAGAGTCCTGAAGAGTTCTCTTAGGGATACCACATTTGGGGGCTAACCGGCTTGGGTGAGTGACTGTCTATTCGTGTGATCCCTTAAAACCCCGGGACACGACCCATCGGACTGGAATATGACCTACATTGACTCCGGGTCAACCACTCCAATGCAAATTAGGTACAATTGTGCAACCGTTTTCACACACGTGGAGTCCTGGAGTGTTTAAATGCGGGTTGCCTATATTCACCATCTATTGTTTTCTTTCCTATAGTGGTTGTCGGAATGTCTGGGACATGCAACTGGTAGAGACGCTCCCCTGTGCAGCGGTGGAGTTGGTGAATGTCAAATGGAGACTTGGAGTCACAACGATCGTTCATGCAGACAATTTTGAGTCATGCAGTCTCTTCGGACAGAGGAGACGCAAGCGTTCCCTTGTTTTGGGTAGTATCATGAATCATGTAGAATGTAGACTACCAGCTGCTTCCTACTGGGTCACCTGGCTGGACAACCCCATACTCAAAAAGGTCTCCATTCAACACCCATTGGAAGTGCTAGGTATTTGTTATTTTTTAACAAGCTTTTTCTCAATCCAAATGGGGCTTTGTCCTGACGAGTGGTCCTCCCGACAAAAAATGGGTCACTGACCAGTGACCTGAAGTAGAGGGTCACTGGTGGAGGCTGGACGTGTAACTCGATGTCCCGTTTGGGATCCGTTTTCGTACCAAACCAGCAAATCACAGTTGGCTGCATCCTCATGCACCGTATCTGAGAAGGTACGACCGGATCCCGAAGCTACAGGTCTACACACAAAGCACGGTGTTTGAGGGAACGTTGGTCGTGGTGTTGAATGAAGAACCTCCCAACCTTGCGCTGCGGGTGGGTTTGGAGACTGGACGACCTCTTCACATCCAGCTTCTTCGGTGAAAGGCGTCTGTTGGCCATACCGCACGCAGGCACCCCCCAGGACCCCGCAGGACCTGATGGTTCGAACTCCCTTTGCTCGGCCTTGCTGGTTGCAAAGGTTCACTACAACAGCTGGTACGACTTCTACAGCTACCAGGTGCAGAGCGTCGAATCATCCCCTCACATTGGGAAGTCTTTACCGGAGACTAAGTAGGACGAGGAGTGATGGATGATGCAGTGGCCAGAAGCAAGACACCAAAGAATCCCAGCATCACCCCAAGCAGGGGGCATCAAACCCACCTAAGATGTGATACCCGGATCCTCAACGATTTCGGCCGTAAGCTTCAGCTTAAGCCAACCAATTTCGCTTGGACCTTTTGTGAGGTTTTGCTTGGACCCTGCCCCCCCGCCACAGTAACAGTCACGAAGGGTCAGGGCCTTTAAAACCAGTGGGCGGGTTAACTCTAGAAGGGTTTTGGCACAGTTGGTCAGATCTTCACACCACCCCTTCACACCCTCCAAAAAATCCCACCGGTTCCTCTAGACTCGGACCGAGTCTTACAATTGGTTGCACCGGTGATGAACGGACCCACAACCGGATCCGTGATGAAGAAAGAAAAAGAACACAACCGATGACTGGAAGCGCCTTCAGAACATCCATCTTGGAAGACTCGGAACCCGGGGAGGTTTAGGGTTTGGAACTCATCCGTTTTAGCTCTGTGTGTGTCTTCATTTTCACATGGAAGAAGGCAGTTGTCGGGCTCAGCCGGAGACTACAGCCCATCCAGCGATTGGGTCACGGAACTGGCGCTGGCCAGTGATTGGGAGAAGTACGTCGTCTTTTTGGGCAGTTCTTAGCCTAATGTATATAAGTTCCTTATTCCTTTGGGGGGCATTTACACAAGGGAAGATGCAAAGACATAACCAAGTATGTTTTTTTTTTTGCAACTGTTTGATCTTAATCTTTGTTTCTTGTTTCCGTCCTCATCCATCCCATGTCTCTTCTTCTTCGCGAATTCGGACAGGATGAGGGTTTCAACGGTGGCTTCAAGGACGGAAGCTGCGGACCACGGACGCGCTGAGACGTCGACATGGAATCTTCGAAAGTGTGAAGATACACTTTGTGGAATTATCAGGGGCCTTTTTAATTCCACTTCCATGATGGATCAGAGGAGCGTAAGGTGAATGTTCCTCCGAATGAATTTTGCTGGTCGAATCATTGAAGCTTCCTTGTTGTGATTCTTCAGAAGGCAAAGTGTGTATGAAGCTTCACGATCAATGGAAGGGTGAAGCTGCCTGGAGATCTTGCCTTGGATGAAGGCGGGCCAAGGGATGCCAAGGGGCAAGGAACTGGACTGATCCGCGACTCCGACTCCATTTGTTCATAGAGAACTGCGTCCTTGGTCTTTTTGTTTTACATCTGAAACGGCGTTAAGGTCTTCATTGTTTCATTCTCATGTCAGTATCATTCAGTAGCTGTTCCTTTTTCCCCCAAACAGTTTACTGTTGGCAGGGTTCTCTCTTATAGGAAAAGAAACAGCTGGCCACACTGGCTGGCCGCGCCACTGAACTCTGTGTGCGGGCTCTGTGTCCGGGGCTTGTCCTTGTCCTGCTGTTGTCCTCGGGCCGCGCTGGCCAACCCTGTGTCCTCCTCTTGTCCTAATTGTCCTGCTGTTGTCCTGTCCGGTCACAGCTTGTCACAGCGTGTCCTTGTGTTGTTTCCCTTCCCTGATCCTTTTGTCCTCTGTCGTCCTCCTCATGTCCTCCTCTGGTCTTTCTGTTGTCCTGCTGCCTTGCTGTTTACGCTCCTTCCAAGGCAGGGCCGCGGCCGCCCGCCACAACAACAACAATTGTTGCCGACTAAGCTGTTTGGGGTCTATGCTGGTATAACTTGGATCCCTGCTTTAAAATCCTCGATGCTAATGCTCTTACAGCCGATGCTTTCCATCCATTATAGGTGTCTTCTTGTGTTTCAACAGTCTTTTGCCCACGCTCCATCCCCGGTTCGCTAGGACCCTTGGCCCAATGAGACGTTGATCACCTTGCTCAGACCCGACAAGATGAGCGAAGGCGGGACGGCACCCGGCGTGAACGGGACGGCACCCGGCGTGAACGATGGATTAGAGGCTGAACAGCTACGTAGCCCATCCCCTATGTACCACAGACCAGGGTCCTAGTCCTGGTCTCTCAACCTCTCTTGATTCAGGTGGAACAATGTCGCGATCCAGGGTATCTCTTCCCAGCATTTAATACCACCCCGCGACACCAGCGTGCCCAGCGTTGAGCTGCGGTCAACCTTAGGAAGTTGGGTTTCTGGTGTGTAAGAAACTCTAATGGTCATAGACATAGAAAACATCAACCCAAAACCATAGCCAGACCATCGATGTGATTGGAATATTTGTTGCTTGTACCCAGACATGGATAGCTGGTTTGAAGTAATGA